GTCTAGGCTTTGCCTAGACACCCCAGGGGTGTCCCAACGCCCTATGTGCCCTCATGCCTATAAATAGGAACCTTAGGCCTCACTTTTTGAGGATCTGGATTTTTGGAGAATTGGCGAAGCCCTGCTGGAGTGAAGAGTGATCGAGCACTTCAACACAAGAGAGTTCTTCATCAGATCTACATCACCCGCATCCGTTCCTTAGCATTACCCCTCGTCGGTAATCCTAAGAAGAGCAAATATCTCGCTTTATCCGAGATAGGCGCTCCAAGTTTCTAGATCTCCTCGCGGATCGACGAAGCTCTGCCCGATTTTTCTGGATCAGATCTGATTGTCAGGTAGTCCACGGATATCGACGTCCCCGTCACAGGCTAAAGACCCACGCAAGCAAGAGACGATAAACGGATCTTGTGTTTATTTTCAAGAAAGTTGTAATTTTTATTTTCGTTATTTGAATTTATTTGTAACGTTTGAAGTTTTAATGAAATCAATGATGAAGGCAACTTTTGACGAAAACATTGCTGTGCATGACCTGGTTTACTAGGTAGATGAGAATCATTTCCAGATTTATGGAAGCCTGTATTGTCTGCATGGCCATTCTTCTTTGACATTGTTTCTGAAGTATCTGAATCAAAGGTTTCCTTTGTAATTGATGTGAAATTGTCAATTTGCTCAATATTATGAATAGATTCCTGATTGTCTTGCATCACAGAACTCTGCTCAACCACAGCTTGATCTGAAGGTTCCTCAGATTCATTATAATCATTATTGATAACAACATCATCATAAATCCTTTTCCCAGGCCCATTATCATCTATGTTTGATATAACCTCATTTACAACAACTTTCCCATATAACAAATTATCATTTCTTTCAGATATAATAGAATCAGGAGCTGTTATTTCTTTATCATAGCCATATGAGTTGGTAGCATCCTCTTGAGGAAAATCAGAATCTGAAACAACTATTGTATGTTCGAAGCTTGCACCAATGTCTGATACGCCATGTTGATGAGAAACTTTATTTGAAATGGTAGAATCTGTCACAGGTAACTCAACTTCTTTTGCCTTAATTATTTCATCAGTTGTAGCTTTAGGAACCCATTTCTCAACTAGAACTACTGGACATTGATAGTCAACATGGCCAAAAACTAAACATTTACTACATTTAGGGGGAACCCATTCATACTCCACATTAGTTTCTAACCATTCTCCATTGCCTAAATCCATTCTTACAGAATTGGGAAGATTAGCTTTAGATGAAATTTCCACAAAACATCTGGCATATGCAAGTCTCTCCCCAGATGCAGTTGCTTGATCAATATATAAAGGAATACCCACAATACTAGCAATTCTTCCAATGATATTAGTAGACCATAACTTTAGATGCAATGAAGGAAGTCGAATCCAAACTGGAACAGTTGTAAGTAATTCACGTTCTAAATTGATGTTTTCAGACCATTGTTTAAGAATAATAAGTCTTCCATCGAATAACCATTGTTTAAGTATATATAAGTATACAGTGTATACTCTATTATATATGTATATATCTCTTATATAATTATATATATGTATAAGTATACTCTCTCTTATATATTGTATAAGTATACAATGTATACTCTCTCTTATATATATTTATACTCTCTCTCTCTCTCTTAGTATATAAGTATATATAACTATACTCTCTCTTATATATGTATAATATATGTGTGTATATATATATATTTATACTCTTATATAAATATACTTATATGTGTACATGTAAGTTTATGTACGTGTGTGTGTGTGTGTGTGTGTGTGTATATATATATATTATATGTTTATGTATAATACAATTTGTTTATATAAATTCTATAATTATTTTTAATTTTATTTATTTCTATAAAATCTATAATACAATTTGTTTATATAATTTCTATAAGTATTTTTAATTTTATTTATTTCTATAAAATCTATAATTATTTTATATCATTTTATTATTTTAATATCTATAATTTTTTATATTTATAAATTACATAATTACAAATGATTAATAATATGAATTTTTTTTTATCAAAAATGTGTTTGTTTTAGCTTTGTTTTCTTGAAAATTTTTAAAAAATTAAAAAAAGTAAAAAATAAAAAAAAAACCCGGGCCAGCCCTGAGCCCGGCCCGCTCAAGCCCGGGCCCGGTCTGAGACCGGGTTTCGGTTTTGCCCAGCCCAGGCCTGGTTTTCCGAGCCGGGTCAGTCTGAGACCGGGTTTCGGTTTTGCCCAGCCCAGGCCTGGTTTTCCGAGCCGGGTCAGATGGACAGGCCTAGTTATACGTAACTAAGTTGAAGCTGCATAATCCACGTGAAAATATTTTAGAAACCATAACAAATATGGTTTTAAGAAAATTAACGCAATACTTTTATAGAAAAGTAATATTAGAGACATATTAAAAAAATAAAATATCATTTTACCCGAGTGATGAATATAGATCAACTTTTTTTAAAAAATGTTATTTCTATTTAAATTTATTGGTTTATTTGTTGATTTAAATATTAAAAAATTTTCACTTATTTAACTTGCAAGTTGGATTTTTTTTTCTATTACTCAGTGGCGAAGCTAGAACCTTAGGTTTGACCTTTTTTTTGGGCGGGGGTGCTTGTGGGTGTGTGGGGGTGGGGGAATTAATACGTATTTTCCTGTTATTTATTTGATAGAAAAAAGAACACTAATTTTAAACCAAATTTGCATATGTTTTCATTCGAATATACTCATGATATAACGATACTCCTTAAGAAAGATGTCCCCCGTGACACTTCTTGGAATCAAATTCATCAAATTCCTCTATAATATCAGTGGTAAAACTACATGCAAATTTCCTTTTAATGTAAAAAAGTAAATTGTGTGCATGATACCTATCATCAGTTATCTTGCTGTAAATTCTTTATTTTTAAATTTTTATAGCTGAAAATGATAGCTCTAGTAGCCATATAACATAAAGTCTTAAACAAAACAAAGTAACTTTTGCTTTTCCTACAACTACTATAACTACTATTACCCGACATAGCTCAAAATTGATTGACATATTCTGAAAATCATCTGCAAACCGAAAGGCTTTATCAACACATACATAGTTCCTTTCCCATTAATATACACTAACATTTATATATGTGGTGGCCCAACTCACTTTTACTGCTTCTGCTAGTAGACTTTGGGGGTGTTTGGTTCAATAGTGGACAAGAATATGATTAGAAATTCAATTTTTTTTATGGATTCCTACCAAATCCATAAAAAAATTTAAGACAAGTTTATGGATTCATGAAATCTTTTTTTCCTTTTTATGTTTGTTTCATAACATGAAAAAATAGAATCCAACTTTATAGAAACCCTCTAATTCCTATTCTTTAGTTTGGTTTGGAATGAGAATATGATCCAGTCTCATAATAATATAAGGTTTGTGAAGAAACGGAATCCGAAAAAAAGAGGGACAATAGTACGGATGTGTCAGCTTTTTACCCAAAACCCTCCCAAATCATTAGGATTTGGGTTTTTATAAAATCATCATACTTTTTTAACTTTATAGATTTCGAAATCTATAAATTTGTTGTGAATCAAACTCAGGAATAGGATTCATAAAGAACCCTTTATTTATGATTTTGCCCCTATCAGATTCAATTCCTATTCCTATTCCATAAAAGGGTGAAACAAACACCCCCTTTGGTTATTTTAACAACAATATTTACTACCATTTATAAATTTGGCGGTCCTTTTATTACCTAGACTTTGGCTATATATTCTCACATAGGCATAATAGTATAGGGACCTATACGCAAAGTTCCAAAATTTTTGGGGGATCAAGGTTCCCCCAAACTTCAACATAGCCCCGCCCTTGCTTGCTGTTACTTTAATATTGTATTTTTATTTTCTCTTTTCTATACTATTCAATATTAGTGATCTGAATACAAAAAAAAAAAAAAAAAAAATCTTATATCAATTTTCTAAAAAAAAAAAAAAAAAAAAAAATCTTATATCAATTTTCTATAACTCTTCTACAATTGGTTGCGACCACTACAAACATTTTGAGTTTTAAAGCCATCATTTTTTTGTTTTTACAATCTCTGATATTAGAGATATTATTTGTAGTTTGGTTGCAAAAAACAATTGCTTTTACGTTTGATTGCAAAAAAACAATTGCTTTCTAAAATAAAAACTACGGTGTAAAGAATTTTCTTCCATTCCTTCACATTTGCGTACCCTCACAATCCTTTTTATATAGTAAGTAACTAAGTATTCTAGATTACACTAAAAGTTTAGGAACTATGGGTGACGAAGTAGGACTTTAGTTGAATACTAAAAATAAGATATGGGGTGGTTGAGAACTACTTATTCAATAAGGTGTGAGATGTAAAAAGGGGATTTTAGATCCACGATTTCCCATTTTTCTTGTTTGGAGCGGTTTAATTTTTTACCAAATATTATTTAATCATGTTAATGTAGTTGGACACTTTTAGGGATGCTACTTAATTATTCTAGAGGTGTGTTCATGAAATTGTTAAGTTTGTAATTGCATTTTGTTCTTCAAACGTTTGCATAGACATTGCACTTAGTTGAGTAAACATAAAGAGGTCTACTCATCAAAATTCACAGATTCAGGTTGAAAGGAAGATAATATAGGGAAAAAAGTATTTTTTTTTTGGATATCGGAATAAAATTTGATTTTATTCATTATACGAGAGTATTGCGTTATCCATATGTTCTCCACCATAAATAAAACCGAGTTTCAATATGGATCGAAGAAGATGAGAAGTTTTATTGAAAAACATGGTATGAATTAATGAGGTACCTTATAAGTCTCTCTAATTAAAAGTCATTTTTAAGAATTAACAATATATAAACATTGTCATTGATGATCTAATCTGATACAATTGGTTTTTGTTTTTTGAATAATAATAATAATAATAAATTAACAATAATTTAAAATTGTCTACGTTGGGATATCCTTATTTTCAATAACTTTATTCTTTGGTTATGATGGCATGCACGTCAATGCTGGCGTATCGACAAATATTGGTCAATGCCGGACCAGTTTGATCACAGTGTGGTGCAAGTTTCCAATGAATTGGCAACTATAAGTAAATATTGGAACACCTTAAAAATCTAGAAGGGTCAAATGTCAAAAATTATACAAGAATTTATGTCATACTCATAGCTTGCAGTCCAAACTAATTTTATTATTTATGTTTTAGTCAAATAGCTAGGTTCATTTTTATAGTGACTCAAGAGGGAAAAATATTAGTTCTAGAAATATAGCAAAAAAGAAAAAAGTCATACTCATAACTTGCAATTTAAACCATTTAATTTTCTTATATGTGTGTAGAGAATTCTCTTGTTAATTAATGTTAGGATTTGCTCTTCGGAGAATTCTTAATTATTATGTTTTTCTAATAATGCGTACATCTAACTTTTTATGAGGGGTTTAGTGAAGAAACTATGTGGCATTTTGTATTTTTCTAAGTGATCTCTCCTTCTACAACACTTCTATAAAATTTATTTCACTTACAATTAGAATCGAAATTTCAAATATTTATGCACTCATTGTTTTTTTTAATGTATATAAAATTGGCATAGTCAAATAGGCCCATTAGTTTTAGATGGTGATTGGAGTGAAAAATCTGTTTTATTTTCCCAATTTCGAAACTAATATATTAACTGTTTATGTCCACGCGGCGTTTGTTTATATATGAAAGATGTGATGGTCTCTCTCTGAGGGCGTCCAAGAGTTCCAAACTTTTGTCCATCACTTTTTTTATGTTTCTATTAGTATAATTAATCTTTTCCGGGCCCCTATTGTCTATTTCGTTAAATCTTCCTTTAAAAAAGTCATGTTTGGATAATTAGGGCAAAAATGCCTCTTGACTATTTCATTCATCCTTTTGGTATCCATGAGATTAACCCAGAATTCACCTTTTCCTAATTTTTTATATCGTAGCGTGCAAGACATACTTTTTAGCGTGCAAGACATACAATTTCATTCTTTTAGTAAATTTTTTTTATATTAGTCCTTAATGTAAATCTTTCATGCTTTGAAATTAATCCGTTTATCATGTTAATTAAGTTGAGCCGTTTATAATGTTTTTTTGTCAATGAAAAATACTTTTATTCATTTACCAATTGAAAAAAAACAGTAGCACATCAATATCTTCGGCATTGAATCAGCCTGGAGAACCAAAACTATCACCCTAAATATTTACAATTACATCCTCCCAATTTTCTCTTTGAATTGCAGCGGGATTTCCTCATTCAAAACTTTTGAAAGTAAGGCAAGCTTAATTGCTCGAAAGAGAATGTCAGGGCTACGATTTTTTCCTTGGAATAATCTCAAATTCCTTTCTTGCCACACAAAATAAACTGTTGCAGCTAGAGCCATTCTCTTAACCTTCTTCATGAACCCCTTGCCCTTTAGATTATAAGCATACCAATTTAGTAGACAATTCCAATTGCAAGACCTCCATGTAAATTGCAACCAATCCATCACACTGTTCCATACTTGGGCTGAATATAGGCATTCGAATAAGAGATGATGACAAGTTTCCTCTCTTTGATGATCAGGAGGACACAAAACACAGTGATTTGTATTGAGTATCTTCATCCTAATTAGCTTGTCATGTGTTGACAATCTGGAAAGAGTAGAAAGCCATAGCACAAAAGAGTGTTTTGGGTAATTCAACCCCTCCCAAACTGTGTTGCACCAGGGAACTTGAGCAGAACTATTGAACAGGTTATAGATAAAGGAGGTTTGAAGCCTACCATTGAAGTAGCAGCCATTGATGATGCTTGTGAGGTTGCTGACAGATCCAAATTTGATCAACATCATGTCTCTAGCTCTTAGGAGCTGTCTCCACATCTAGGAATCCGAAGCTTTGATTTGAACTTGCCATATAATGTTCCAACTGGCTTACAAATATTGGTAGATAAGACGTAAACGGTAGTAGGCCCTAATGACTGTTTAACAAATATCGATGTAGATCGAAGTTAAGTATGAAAAATGATAGGGGCACACCTCAAACCACAACCTCAACCACACCCCCTCTCTCATTTGCTACAGTGCACCGGGCCCCACATGAGATTTTAAAATTTTAAAATCTCATGTGGGGCCCGGTGCACTGTAGCAAATGAGAGAGGGGATCTGGCCCCATTTTCTCACTATCCTCATAAATTCTTAGCTAACTCTAATGCCCTGTTAATAAATTGGGAACGTTGAGAGAATTGACTCTTCCAACAACTTTGCTGTTTATGTTGTCGTGGGCCGTTACTCAAATTGCGTGGAAAACTTTAGATGTTTGCAACACTTTTGAGGTCACTTTCTTAAGGAAAATGATAGGGGCACAACCTTAACCACACTCCTTCTCTCATTTGCTACAGTGCACCGGGTCTCACATGGGATTTTAAATTTTTAAAATCTCATGTGAGGCCCGGTGTACTATAGCAAATGAGAGAGGGGGTGTGGTTGAGGTTGTGGTTGGGGGTGTGCCCCTAGTGTCACCCGTTAAGTATATCTATTGAGGGTCCCAATTAAGAGGGATATTGTTTCATGGAGGCCATAATGCTTGTTTATAATTATCAATTCAGACCGCCTACCAAAAAATACCAATTTAAACCAAAGTCAAGTTTACATATTGAAGGTTAAACTACGCGACAACAACAACAAAAGGTTTAAACTACACATGCTTAAAATCCTAATTATGAATTAATGCTGCTGGGTCATAAAGGCCCTGATGCTTGTTTAATTATAAATATCAACTTAAACCAAAGGTATTGAAGACTAATCTTACGTGGTTAAGATTTCTACGAATGATAGGGGGTCATGTATATTGTTTAGTTTTTTATTAATAATATATATTAATTTACACCAAAGTCAATTTTACCTCTTGAATGTTATATCCTCCACATGCATGATAGTTCAGTTATATGAATAATGGTGGATAATTCATACGCTTGTTTATAAACCTCAATTTGGACCAATCGATATTTACCTATTAAAGTGTCATTGATGATCAAATCGCCTTAATAATTGTAGTTTTTTTTTACTATAATGAAAAGACTTGAGACGTCCGTAGGTTCAATTTGAGAACATTTTAGAAAGTATTGAAAGTCTTTTGTCAATAAATATTTAATGTCATGGATCGATATTGCACTAAATAATTTCTCCATCTCTCATTGATCTCTCTATAGCCTTTACTATAAATTATTTGCAAATGGCATAAGATGATATAGTGTTGATTAGTACTAGTAATATTACCTTTTCACATTTTAATTTAATACATGAAAAGGGCAATAAATAGGGGCATAAAGCACTTGTTTGAGAACTCCAAGGTAAAATGTATAAATTTGCTAGTTTATTTTATTTGACTTGATGACATCAACAAGAAAATACAACGTGAATAAGGGCCTATTTGGTTGGCCCAAAAAATAAAGAAAGTGGGCTAAATAACTGACGAAGAAAAACTATATATTTCCCCCCTAAAATCTGAAAGTTTGGTTCCCCAAAATAAAAAAGGAAAGAGGAAGAGAAATTGGCTGCCCCGAAGGATTTGTAGGAGCTCCGTTTTCCACCCTCAAGCTCCCAATTTCACCAGAAAAATAAGAAATCGGGTGCTTGTTTCTTAGGACGAAAGTGCCTTCTTCTAGATGATGAGATCGTTGATGGCTCATTCAATCGTTTGAAAACTAAAAATTTGTGTGCTGACTCCACATATGGGTATTGTGAAAGCACTACAGAGATAAACTTCTCACAACAGCAACGAGATTGCATCTGGCTCATGTTGTGTTTAAGTGTGAGATAATCACGGAGGTCAATGGTGGGACTACCCCTAACTAGCTCTGTCGACTTAGCTTTACCCAAGCGAGACTCCTCTAAATGATAGAGGCTGACAAACTTGGGTAGCTATATGAACTTCATCATTCAATTATTTATGACGAGGTTCATTGATAGGGCGAGCTTGGCACATCCGCCTTCTTGGTCCATTCTCAGCAGCTTGAGATTCGTTCTCTTGATGAACCTCGATGTGAACAACTTGCTGATTTGGTTGAACCTCACTCTGTGGATGAGGTTCGTTCTCTGAGCCTACTCGGGTGTAGGGACGAGATCCGTCATTTTGACGTTCCTCAGCCAGTTGAAACTCAACATACTTATTAAACTTGGACTGACCAACTTTTAGTCGATAGTAGAAACCGTTCAACGAGACCAAATCTTAAGCCCTGCGGTGAGCTTGGTTCTAGCGTTGACGTTGTTGCGCATGTCTTGAAAGTGGACTTACAGGAGTTACTGTCTCAGCCGATGCTGGGCGAGGTTTTTCAAAAACGGCCAGGCTTTGGCCACGTTGGTTAACAGAAGCCGAAGTTCGGCTATGGTGTTTGACAACCTATTTTTTAGTCTGACGGCTAGTTGCTGGAGCATCATCTTTGAAAGGCATAGATGTTTCCTTGAGGCTAACTCGAGTTGAATCATCATAAGCCACATGGGCTGAAGTTTCATAAGAGACTCGATGGCACTTTCGTGCCTTAGTAGGACTAGACTTACCAGAGGAAAGAAACTCCTCATACTTTGTCTGGTCGATCTCTATGACTAGAGTTTTAACCTCAGTCCCCACTGTAATCTTGTCTGACTGCACCACCACCAGTTCGTCAAAAAGAATGGCTTCTCACATTGTGGTTGTCATCTTCTGTAAGGTCAAAAAATTAAAGTTTGATTGATTTCTTGTTTTAAGAAATGGATTCGGTCACTTGGTACGAATCCCTTACAATCACTCACTCACTCTCTCTCTTGATTACAAGAGGAAGAGTAGATTAATTTGATTTCTCTTTTGTTTAAAAGTGGGTTCTTGGTAGCGAAAGGATGCTTCTCTCAATACTCAAGCTGAGATTGCTTCCCGTTGACGATCAGATCAAGATCACAAAAGCTTCTGACGGTGGCTTAGATCACGAGAATGCAGACTCTGATCTCTCTTCACGCGATCGCCAAAAATATTCCCAAAATTCCCTTCTTCATAGCTGCTCATAACTATTTATAGAGTTTTTAGCATGTAACCAACGTGCTAGAATTGTGGGTAGAGGGCGTAACTAACTCCTTCAATTCAACCCATGTTGGTTAATGAGAAAAAACGTGCTCCTGAAGCTTAGCCCATGTGGCTGACTAAGTTTTCACATCCGTTGCAGCTGGATTTTCTACGGATGATAAGCCTCGCTGCATGGTGAGGTTCGTCATATAAGGCAAGCTTTGCAGTATAGCGAGCTTCTTCTGACGAGCTTTGTCTTCACTAACTTCATTTGACAAACTTTATCTTCGATAGCTGAGTCTAACTACATAGTAGGTCTTATGAACTTCCTTTTGACGAGTCCCGTCATCGCTGACGGGCTTTAAGTTTGATGATGAGCTTTGTCTTTATTAACGAGCTTTACCTCCAATGATGAACTCCGAACCTCGTATCCAATGATGAGCTTCGAACTTCATTTCTAATGACGAGCTTCATCTTTGATATCAAGCCTCGCTGTGTGGCGAGCCTCGTTTCTAATATGGATCCTCGTTGGGGGTGAGTCTCATCTTTGATTGAGACGATGTTCGTCCCTATAACGACCTTCATCATATCTTAAAATTTGACATTTTTTAATGCCTACAATTAGTTGTTAAGGTTAAGAGTTTGTTGCTAAGGTTATGAGTTTGTTGTTAAGGTTAAGAGTTTGTTATTAAGGTAAAGTTTGTTGTTAAGGTTATGAGATCGTTGTTAAGGTTACGAGTTTGTTGTTAAGGTTACGAGTCGGTTGTTAATCTTAGCAGATATTTATGAGTTTTTATTAGCCTCATGAGTTGGTTGCTAAGGTTATGATTGACTGTTAAGTATTAATGTTTTTTTAACTTTTACAGGACTATCTTGATAGAAAATTCGTGATGCGCAGCCACTACGCTCAACATTTCATGTAATTATGAGCGTATTCCTAAAGACAATCCCACTAGCGACTCGATCACAATGATGGAAGACATGATTAATAACCAAACCAAGATCCCAACTGAGTGGCACACAATCATACGTGAAATTCGTCAGAAATTTGATAGTGTTGCTGAAGTTAGATTAGCACATCAATACTACTCAATTACGAAAAGGTTCAAGTATGATTTTTACCATAATGAACAAAGACATATAAGACTCTATTGCTGATTCATGCATACGTTGGGTTGCCCTTGGATGTTGTTTTCTTCCCCACTCAGAAATTCCTTAATTATGTCTATAAAGAATTTCTGTTCTACCCACATTTGCGGTCAGCATGGATCTAATGCTAGCAACTCAAGGGCATCAAAAAAGTTCATTGCAAGCTAAATACAATCTATTTTGAAGGTTAGGCCAGATCTTCGTCCAATTGATATCAAGAATGACTTGTTCTCAAACTATGGCATCAAGATTAACTACTGTAAAGCATGGCAAAGTAAAGCGATAGCACAACAGGACCTGTTCGGTGATGATAATGAGGCTTACGATT